GGTTAATCTGGGTTAGATTCATCTGGGTTAGATTAATCTGGGTTAGGTTAAACCTGAGTTAGGTTAAACCTGAGTTAGCTTCATCTGGGTTAGGTTAAACCTGAGTTAGCTTCATCTGGGTTAGCTTCATCTGGGTTAGGTTAAACTGGGTTAGATTAATCTGGGTTAGATTAATCTGGGTTAGGTTAAACTGGGTTAGATTAATCTGAGTTAGATTAATCTGGGTTAGGTTAATCTGGGTTAGATTCATCTGGGTTAGATTAATCTGGGTTAGGTTAAACCTGAGTTAGGTTAAACCTGAGTTAGCTTCATCTGGGTTAGGTTAAACCTGAGTTAGCTTCATCTGGGTTAGCTTCATCTGGGTTAGGTTAAACTGGGTTAGATTAATCTGGGTTAGATTAATCTGGGTTAGATTAATCTGGGTTAGGTTAAACTGGGTTAGCTTCATCTGGGTTAGCTTCATCTGGGTTAGCTTCATCTGGGTTAGATTAATCTGGGTTAGCTTCATCTGGGTTAGCTTCATCTGGGTTAGCTTCATCTGGGTTAGGTTAAACTGGGTTAGATTAATCTGGGTTAGATTAATCTGGGTTAGGTTGAACTGGGTTAGATTAATCTGGGTTAGGTTGAACTGGGTTAGATTAATCTGGGTTACGTTGAACTGGGTTAGATTAATCTGGGTTAGGTTAAACTGTGTTAGATTAATCTGAGTTAGATTAATCTGGGTTAGGTTAAACTGGGTTAGATTAATATGGGTTAGGTTAAACTGGGTTAGATTAATCTGAGTTAGATTAATCTGANTCTGGGTTAGGTTAAACTGGGTTAGATTAATGTGAGTTAGATTAATCTGGGTTAGGTTAAACCTGGGTTAGCTTCATCTGGGTTAGGTTAAACCTGGGTTAGATTAATCTGAGTTAGATTAATCTGGGTTAGGTTAAACTGGGTTAGATTAATCTGGGTTAGGTTAAGCCTGGGTTAGCTTCATCTGGGTTAGATTAATCTGGGTTAGATTAATCTGGGTTAGGTTAAACTGGGTTAGCTTCATCTGGGTTAGATTAATCTGGGTTAGATTAATCTGGGTTAGATTAATCTGGGTTAATCTGGGTTAGCTTCATCTGGGTTAAGTTAATCTGGGTTAGATTCATCTGGGTTAGAATCAACTTGAGTTAGATTAATCTGGGTTAAGTTAAACCCGAGTTAGATTCATCTGGGTTAGAATAAACCAGAGATGGATTAATCTGGGTTAGGTTAAGCCAGGATTAGATTAAACCTGGGTTAGGTTAATCTGGTTTAGGTTAAACTGGTTTAAATTAATCTTGGTTAGGATTAATCTGGGTTAGATTAAACAAGTGTTAGATTAAACCAGGGATGGATCAACCCAGGATTAGATTAAACCTGGGTTATATTAACTTGGGTTAGATTAATCTGGGTTAGATTAATCTAAATTAGGATAAACTGGGTAAGATTGAACCAGGGTTAGATTAAACTGGGCAAGATTAAACTGGGTTAGATTGAACCTGGGTTAGATTAAACTGGGTTAGATTAAACCTGGGTTAGATTAAAGTGGTTTAGGTTAAACCTGGGTTTCATTAATCTACATTAGGTTAAATTGGGTTAGATTAAACCTGTGTTATGGTAAACCAGGGTTAGGTTTAAGGGGCTAGATTAAACCTGGGTTAGATTAAACTGGGCTTGATTAAACCAGGGTTAGATTAATCTGGGTTAGGTTAAACCAGCGTTAGATTAACTTGGTTTATATTAAACCAGGGTTATTTTAAAACAGGGTTATATTAAACCAGGGATGGATCAACCCAGGATTAGATTAAACCGGGTTATGTTGAACCAGTTGAGTTTAATAAAACCTGAATTATAAGGAGCTGCAGCTCTGAGGCTCGATATAAAACTCTGATAAATCTTTAACGTCTTTTGTTAGTTTGGTTCTGCTGATGGTAGAAAAATGAGATTAACGAGACTAAAACTCCGCCTCCAGCTGTGACATCATCAGAGGCTGGGCTCTGGAGGACAGCCTAATGATTGACAGGTCGTGTGTCTTTCAGGCAGGTGTGTTTCCTTACGCAGCAGCAGGCGGTGACGGTGATCTGGATGGTGTTCCGGCCCGGCTGACACACCTGCTTCAGGTAGAGGGGTTTGTGGGAAGTTCTGTTGTCGCCTCGTTTGATGGTGAGAGGCGTGGCGTTCACGCTCACCTGAGGAGCAGCCAGAAACACAAACAGCATCAGACACGTCGGAGCGTTCACAGGTGAGTGGGCTCTGAGACCAGAGGACAGGGAGCGCACCTGGACCGAGGCGGGCCAGTTGGTGTTCATCTGTCGGTCCTCGTGGTGGTAACACTTGAACTGGAGCTCCAGGTCGGGTCTGAACGCAACGAAACACGTTAGAATCATCAGAGGAACCCCACCAGGTGTTGTTCCTCTGACAGAACCCCGGACCCCCCACAGGTGAGTCGGTACCTCATGATGAGCGTTTTGTAAACGGACTCGCGCAGCTGGAAGACGTGGTTGCTCACGGCCAGGTTGTGCTCCAGCCTGAAGGGCTCCAGGACCACGCCGTCCCTGACAGGAAACGTCAGTCGCAGGTTGTCGCTCGGGTTACCTGTGGACAGGAAGTCATCAGCACCAGCAAACTTCCTGTGACATCATCAGACAAACAGAAAGAAGCAGACCTGTAGGAGGGGGAGGAGCCAAGCTAGCCATGTTGGGCTTGATGTCAGGCAGGAAGGAGGAGGTCATTGGCTTGACGTCGCCGCTGCCCGGTGACATGTAGGGCGGGGCCATGGAGCTGCTGGGGGTGATGGGAGGAGTCGGGTTTCCAGGAACCGGAGAAGACGGGTATCCAGGTAAGCCTCGACCCGGCTGACAGACACGACAAGTCAGAAAAGTTTTTCTAAACCCAACGTTAGAGAACTTAGAGAACAGCTCAGCTTACCCCCGACTGCTGGCTGAAGGAGTTGTAGACACCACCAGCGCCCCCTGCTGCCAGGGAGGGCAAACCCCCGCTCTGACTGCTGAACTGGTCCTGCTGCAGGAAGCAGAAAACAGGTTGCAGGAAACAGAACGTAAGAAACAGGAAGCAGGAAACAGGAAACAGAAAACAGGAAGCAGGAAACAGGAAACAGAAAACAGGTAGCAGGAAACAGAACGTAGGAAACAGGAAGCAGGAAACAGGAAGCAGGAAACAAAGCAGGGAACAAGAAGCAGGGAACAGAAAGCAGGGAACAGGAAACAGGAAACAGAGAACAGAAAGCAGGAAACATTAAGCAGGGAACAATTCAATTAAATTTGCAAAAGATTTAAATAGGAAAATAAGAATGGAAGAAACAATAGTGGTCAAAGATCTTATGTCACTTTATAGTAAATTAAATTGGACTGAAGAAGATAAAGACAATATAAAGAAACTGCAGTCTAAATTAGATGACATGTATATTAATAAGGCTAAGGGAGCCTACATAAGGTCCAGGGCCAGGTGGATAGAAGAGGGTGAA